TTAATGCCGAGCGCCAGGCAGGGACCAACAAGTACCATATTTTAACGTCTTTTGGTATGACGAGGTCGGGGATCGAACCCGCGACCTTCCGCTCTCCGGGCAGACGCTCTAACCACTACACCACGGAGGCGGTTTGTCTGGCTGAGGTCATATATATGAGAATGGTAGTTGTTTGTTACAAATGACTTCCAAGTGGGGTTGGAGTAGGGGGGGGGAGGCGACTCGTGATGTTCGGCTGACCTCAATTAAGTTGTGATCTTTGGTTAAGGTCATTTTAGTCTGTCGCACAGTCCCTGAACCGCATTATGTCCCTTACACAATGCTGAAGCCCTAAATGAAGCAAGTCTAGATGTCCTCAGGTTCTAAATCTCCCATCTCACTGGTGCTCTTTTTCAATTTAAAAGGAATTATTTGATTCCATCACAATTATATATATATATTCAGAGACATTCTAAAGTCATACATATTAAATACAGTAAGTTGAGGGTTTTTTTCATTACATATACCAAAGAGGGTGGTGGGGACATCTTGTCTGGCTGACATCCTGTACATACAGAAGTCAGAGTATGGGAATATCTTCACGTCTCACTGAGGCCATACATATACATTGTGTGACAATTCAAAATGTGCCTCGACATCTTTCACCTCACATTAATTAGCTACATAAGTACATGTGGACTTGGATACAAACCAATTCAAGTACTCAAGCACCAAGCTCCTGATGGGCAGCACACAATGACAAGTGACACACTGAGAAACCATAAATGAATAACTAATGAACAATATACATCTCCATCAAAGAGTGCATCAGATAAATGAACTCAGCAGTTTTTGATGATATCAGACGGATCATTAGTATCGAGAAAAACTCCTGCTTTCATGGAATCATAAGTCTATAAACTGCCATGGACAATTTGCTTTCACTGCACACTGGTTTTTACTTTTTTCTTTAATAAATCCAAATACACTAACGTCAGTTGCAAAGATAAAGTTGAAAATGTCAATCAATTTGAGACAAGCGGAATGATTGAGTGATTGACTTTCGTTTTACGCCATTTTTAGCAATATTCCAGCAATATCACGGCGGAAACACCAGAAATGGGCTTCACACATTGTACCCATGTGGGGAATCGAACCCTGACCTTCCGTGAACGCTTTAACCATCAGGTTACCCCACTGGGGGAAGAAGAATAAAGGAACAATGGCATATGAGAACTCTCACAGCAGGTGAGCTCAAGTTCTGATGTTCTTCAAATAAAAGGCATGGTCAGTTCTGTTTTAAATCCAAATCTGCAAATCAGCGATGTTTGGATGTATGTTTACTAATGGTTTGATGGAACAGTCGGGTAATAGGAACCATGTCACGTTTTGACTCGCGTGACAACAGAGGGCGTCACGTGAAGAGACGGAATGATCATTGTTTTGTTACAAATGGCTTCCGGCATGTCGGATATCAAAGTGATACGCATGTGAATACAATGCCAATTACTGGCTATACAAACCCTCTCAATCCTAGAGTGATCTTAATTTTGACATGTGATCTACACTGACTGCTGTCAATTTATTTCTGGGTTATAGCTGGTTATGTGTAGACAGAACGTGACCATGTTTTCATTTAATATGATACATACGAACATTGTTTTTTGTTAAAGAAGCTTCATTGTTTGCTGGACTATTTCAGGAATTATGCTGTCAACATGTGTGAGTGATAGTTTACGTAATGGCCAAGAGGGATTCTGGGTATAGATTCTCAGTGACCCTTGTTGAAAGAATCTTAATGGATTTAATGGTCAGTTTCCGTAAGTCATCATGACCTGATGACAATGATAGTTGTCATGATATCAGTCACTGGATGTTTGTTTTGTTGTTCAATGGTGTACTCAGGAATTTTCCTCCTGTTAATGATCAAGTCTGGATCAGACAATCCAGTGATAAAAACATAATCATCGATCTATGCAATTTTGTAACGATGTGTCAACCAAGTCGGTAAGCCTGACCACCCGATCCGTTAGTCACCTCTTACTACAAGCATGGGTTACTGAAGACCAATTCTAACCCAGATCTTCATGGGGAGACAAGCATGGGTTACTGAAGACCAATTCTAACCCAGATCTTCATGGGGAGACAAGCATGGGTTACTGAAGACCAATTCTAACCCAGATCTTCATGGGTGAGATATGCATGGATTACTGAAGACCAATTCTAACCCAGATCTTCATGGGTGAGATATGCATGGGTTACTGAAGACCAATTCTAACCCAGATCTTCATGGGGAGACAAGCATGGATTACTGAAGACCAATTCTAACCAAGATCTTCATGGGTGAGATATGCATGGGTTACTGAAGACCAATTCTAACCCGGATCATCACGGGGGAGACAAGCATGGGCTACTGAAGATCAATTCTGACCAGGATCATCACGGGTGAGATATGCATGGGTTACTGAAGACCAGTTCTAACCCAGATCTTCATGGAGAGACAAGCATGGGTTATTGAATGAAGACCAATTCTAACCCGGATCTTCATGGGTGAGATATGCATGGGTTACTGAAGACCAATTCTAACCCGGATCATCACGGGGGAGACAAGCATGGGTTACTGAAGATCAATTCTGACCCGGATCATCACGGGTGAGATATGCATGGGTTACTGAAGACCAATTCTAACTCAGATCTTCATGGAGAGACAAGCATGGGTTACTGAAGACCAATTCTAACTCAGATCTTCATGGAGAGACAAGCATGGATTACTGAAGACCAATAATAACCCAGATCTTCATGGGTGAGATATGCATGGGTTACTGAAGACCAATTCTAACCCGGATCATCACGGGGGAGACAAGCATGGGTTACTGAAGATCAATTCTAACCCGGATCATCACGGGTGAGATATGCATGGGTTACTGAAGACCAATTCTAACCCGGATCTTCATGGGTGAGATATGCATGGGTTACTGAAGACCAATTCTAACCCGGATCATCACGGGGGAGACAAGCATGGGTTACTGAAGATCAATTCTGACCCGGATCATCACGGGTGAGATATGCATGGGTTACTGAAGACCAATTCTAACTCAGATCTTCATGGAGAGACAAGCATGGGTTACTGAAGACCAATTCTAACTCAGATCTTCATGGAGAGACAAGCATGGATTACTGAAGACCAATAATAACCCAGATCTTCATGGGGAGACAAGCATGGGTTACTGAAGACCATTTCTAACCCAGATCATCACGGGGGAGACAAGCATGGGTTACTGAAGACGGGTGACTGATTCGTCTGATCATGAGTCTGTGAGTTATTTACAGGTTGCTGAGAACAAAGTTTACACAGAAAAACATCTGACGAATGATTGGTACATTTTTGGTTAAATATGACAGAATACAGGCTTACAGAGATACTTGATTTAGCTGAAAAATCAACTTTTGTATATATACAGGGATACCCACACTGACCACAGCTGTATCTCAGCAGCCTGAAGAATGGAATCTTGGCAAAGCAAACCAGTGGGTGATAGCATGAGCAGAACCTACATGGTCACGGGACATACATCAGATAGAGACAGTTATATCACAGCTGTATCTCAGCAGCCTGAAGAATGGAATCTTGGCAAAGCAAACCAGTGGGTGATAGCATGAGCAGAACCTACATGGTCACGGGACATACATCAGATAGAGACAGTTATATCACAGCTGTATCTCAGCAGCCTGAAGAATGGAATCTTGGCAAAGCAAACCAGTGGGTGATAGCATGAGCAGAACCTACATGGTCACGGGACATACATCAGATAGAGACAGTTATATCACAGCTGTATCTCAGCAGCCTGAAGAATGGAATCTTGGCAAAGCAAAAAGCAAACCAGTGGGTGATATCATGAGACAGACAGCTGTATCTAGCCTGAAGAATGGTCAGTGGGTGATAGTATGAGCAGAACCTACATCAGATAGAGACAGTTAGACAGTTATATCACAGCTGTATCTCAGCAGCCTGAAGAATGGAATCTTGGCAAAGCAAACCAGTGGGTGATAGTATGAGCAGAACCTACATGGTCACGGGACATACATCAGATAGAGACAGTTATATCACAGCTGTATCTCAGCAGCCTGAAGAATGGAATCTTGGTAAAAGCAAACCAGTGGGTGATAGCATGAGCAGAACCTACATGGTCACGGGACATACATCAGATAGAGACAGTTATATCACAGCTGTATCTCAGCAGCCTGAAGAATGGAATCTTGGTAAAAGCAAACCAGTGGGTGATAGCATGAGCAGAACCTACATGGTCACGGGACATACATCAGATAGAGACAGTTATATCACAGCTGTATCTCAGCAGCCTGAAGAATGGAATCTTGGTAAAAGCAAACCAGTGGGTGATAGCATGAGCAGAACCTACATGGTCACGGGACATACATCAGATAGAGACAGTTATATCACAGCTGTATCTCAGCAGCCTGAAGAATGGAATCTTGGTAAAAGCAAACCAGTGGGTGATAGCATGAGCAGAACCTACATGGTCACAGGACATACATCAGATAGAGACAGTTATATCACAGCTGTATCTCAGCAGCCTGAAGAATGGAATCTTGGTAAAAGCAAACCAGTGGGTGATAGTATGAGCAGAACTTACATGGTCATGGGACATGCATCCGCTACATCATTTTATCCAATCAATCCTCATTAGTCATCTCTTGCAGCTAGCAAGTAAGGGGATCTACTCTTCCCAGGAATACCACAGGGCCACACATCAAAGGAGCCTGATGCTTTTACAAAGGAAGCCGATAGCTCTCTGACTGCGGCAATCCGAGACGTCTACAGTTTAATGGCTGTGCTTCTGTCTTGAGTCTGTACACAATTAGCACATCGATTTAATGTCCATCTTGACCAACATGTCAGCTAGCTTGTCGAAGCATACTGAAGCTCTCTAAATGATGCAATGCTGTGTCATCTGTAAACTGTGTGACCACACAGCCAGGATGTAATTGGGCCTCCTCAATACCAACATGTCAGCTAGCTTGTCAATGTAGATGCTATATATGTTATAGATTTTCATGAACATGTATCATAACATGCTGCTGTTTTCTTTTCTGCATTCTTTTCCATTCTGCAGGTCCAGTTGTCATGGAAACATGACATCGCCCATAATGTATCATGATGCCGTAGCATTCCAGAGTCTCCTAGCTGCCTAAACCTAGGAAGTAAGAGAGTGCTGTGAAATATCATTGAATATACTGAAAACATTGTTCATGAATAGTTTGGTATTTTTATACATTTCATGTGTGATAATTTTAACATTTGAAATCCAAATGTTTGTTTGTTTGCTGTTTAATACCACACTCTGGACCAGACAATCCAGTGATCAACAGCATGAGCATCAATCTGCACAACTGGGATACGATGACATGTGTCAACCAAGTCAGCGAGCCTGACCACCGATCCCGTTAGTCGCCTCTTACGACAAGCATGGGTTGCTGAAGATCAATTCTAACCCGGATCTTCACGGGTTGAAATCCAAATGAAATGTACAGGTACCACTGTTATTAACACCTGCTGATCTGAATATGCTAGTCTCCTGTTTTTCCTACTTTACTTAGTACCAATAACAGGAATTAAACTCATACAAGAACTTATCTGCTCCCCACGTGTGTTAAAGGGGTGGTAAGGGTAAGGCTAGTCTCCATCAGGGCAATAATCGACATGAAACCAAACCTGATGATGTCATTACATCTAATGTCAGGATTTGAATCTTAACATTTTCCCAGCTATTTGCAGGATTATTAACAAATTTAACCTACTTCCATCATTGTTCCCAGTATATCACAGCTCTTCAAGTATTCCAACCATCCTCTCCTTATCAAATCTTATTATAGCACACAAGCTTCATTCCCTTTTTGGAGATTCAAAATGGCTGCCGATTTTTCAGTGCCCATGTTATTCTTATCTCCTGTCATTATTTCCAAAGTAGCTCATAATGGCTTTGACGTTGATTTCTCTGCTAAATTAGGAACAGTTCTTGTGTTCCACATTTCTTTCAAAAGATTTACGATTTCTATAGCTTCATACTGGTACAAGGATGATTTCTTCATTACAAAATACCACAGGTGTTCTAATCGCTCTTTCATTACGTACCATCATTATATACCAACTGGGTAATACGGGAAAATGTCTCAGCAGCACCAATTGTGGACATGTCTGTATGTGGGTTAAACGTCACTCAACAGTCCCGAAAATAATCTTGCTTTGCAGCAGTAGCATCATCAGTTGGTTGTCTAATGGTCTTCGTCATATCTCAGGGATGAACGATGATTTTCAAATTGGACATAAGAGTAGGCACAAAGCAGTCTTAGAAAGACATCCTTGATCTAAAAATTAGTGAGTACTTCAGATATTGGCTTCAATGTAGATGTATACAAAAATAGTTTATGGGACAAATCTGATCTATGAGGAAGCAGACGTATACTATGTAGAGCTTCCCTGCTCCAATACTGCCATCATTCATTGACTGATGGCCACAAGGGCACTGTTATGGCCAGACCACAAAATCTGGTTATTTCTAAATGTATCTACTGAATAAATTAGGAATCAGAATATTGCTGATTGCAGCCTAAACTACAAATGTATTTATTGAAAGTAAAAATGTGACAAATAGGGCTGCAACGATTCAGTTCGATTCATTGAAAATTGAATTTGACACCTTAGTTTCGATTTTTGTGAAACCACTATCAGTATTTCGATTCGATATTTGAATACCTACTTAAATTATTTTCACACAGCCAGAACGTATTTTTGACTCCTGCTCGAGCAGTTTGGAGTGCTTAAATAAGACGAAATGTGATTGGTTGATGCTGGGCTATTTATAAAATGACAATTGTTGTTTGTAGACATCGCCAAGTTGACGATGGATTTCACGATGAAAAGGCGGACTCTCAGAGTTAAATGAAATCTGATGTATTTACTTGTATGAAGAATCGAATCGAAAATGATCAAATCGAGGGTCCAATATCGAAAATCGAATCAAATTGAGGTCTGGGAGAATCGTTGCAACCCTCGTGACAAAACTATTTTCATACTCATGAGAAATCTCTGCTGAAACAGACTCCATCGCATGATTCATACTCAACATTGTCAACAGTTTAATTGTGTTGAATCTGAATCACTATCAGACACCAGGTGTTCACTCCAAGATAAGCATATCCTGCTCAACCAGCAACCCCATCACCAATATGTAAATATACAACATACAATGTCAATGACTGTCAAGACTGTTACAGACATTATAAGTCTCCTGTTTCTGTAAAATAAAATATGTTAGGAATTAGAAAATATGTTTTATGGTCACCACAGATCAAACTTTGAATTCCTAAAATATGACGTTCACAATATGGAAGGATGCTGAGCTATTAATCTCTCCATGGTAAGAGGTGACTAATGGGATTGGGTGGTCAGGCTTGGTTGACACATGTCATCGGTTCCCAGTTGCGCAGATTGATGCTCATGTGTTGATCACTGGATTGTCTGGTTCAGACTCAATTATTTACAGACCGCCGCCATATAGTTGGAATATTGCTGAGTGCAGCGTAAAACTAAACTCACTCACTCACTCACACTCACTCCATGGTACAGTCCGTTTGGGTTCAAATGAGAACGGACTGTAGTGAGCAAGTGAGATTATGTTTTTACAAAGCTTTCAGTAATATTCCCGTGCCTAGATTTTCAAAGCTCTCATAGTGGTAAGATAGTTGTAAAGTTAATGTTAATGTATGGCACTTACGACTATCTTAGTGCTAAGAGAGCTTCGAAAATCTAGGCCCAGAAACAGGGCAGGGGCCACCAGAAATGGGCTTCACGTGATATATGAACAACATCTGAGATGAAATAAATGATCTGAAACACTTAAAAGTTGACCTGTCTTGGTGTAGTGTTAATGAATTGTTTGCTCACTTCCGTGCGTGGCGAACATGTAAGTTTGCATTTGATGGAATAAAAAATAGAGCTTTTCAGGTTTGGTTTATTTCCTCATTTCGATGGTTTAGACTTAGTGGATCTGCGATGTGGATTCATACATTTGTCTCCTCTGACAGCTGCAAATTTCTCACTTGAATTAAAATTTCTCAAGGAGACTCATTACAGTGAATGAGTGAGTGAGTTGATTTTTACGCCGCACTCAGCAATATTCCAGCTATATGGCAGCGGTCTGTAAATAATCGAGTCTGGACCAGACAATCCAGTGATCAACAGCATGAGCATCGACATGTGCAATTGGGAACAAATGACAGGTGTCAACCAAGCCAGCGATCCTGATCACCCGATCCTGTTAGTCACCTCTTTCGACGACAAGCATGGGTTACTGAAGGTTCATTCTAACCCGGACCTTCATGGGGAGACAAGCATGGGTTACTGAAGGTTCATTCTAACTGGACCTTCACGGGGAGACAAGCATGGGTTACTGAAGGTTCATTCTAACCCGGACCTTCAGGGGTAAGTCATTACAACCATTTCCTGAATGCCTCCAACCTTTCCCAATAGACATATGTATCCTCAAGCATTTGAACACCATCGAATCAGATGAAAGCTGACCGTAATAATATATATTTTCTTAAATTGTTATTATTATTAGCAATAACAAGAAGCATTATATGCAGATCATCACTCCATTGAGGACCATTGCCCAAAGCTGAATTTATTACCCCTGTCAACAGACCAGTGTGCATTCCAACTGCATTTATACTCCCTGGGGATAATCCAACCCAAGCAGTCAATAATGTGCTAGGTAAACAACCCTATTACCCTGTCATCCTTCCGGGTACCCATTCACTGCTTGTGAAAAGTGGCAATATTTGAATGATAACTTCCAAGTGCAAACACAGGAAAAAACCCAAACATGCATCAAACACTATGAATTTTCAAATACAATTTCTTTTCAAAGATTTTGAACATTTTTGGCCTTGAGATTATTTTATTTCACCCTTTTCGATTCTAGTTCAATGGCAATCTCAAATAATGGCACCTAATTAAACCTAATTTGAATGTGTTTGAATCATTGGATCAACATAGCAGTGAAGAGAAGGCACATATTTACATCATGACTCCTCATCTCATAGTACTTGGTACCCCCGCTTGGTATTGCTGGAATATTGCTAAAAGTGGCTTGAAGGAACACACTCACTCACTCACTCCTACCGGTTACCCTTTTCACAGCTGGGTGATTTGAGACACATTTTGATGGATAAATCCCAAGTGAAAACACAAAACTATGGCATACGTCTTATTACATACACAAAAATCATTTGTAAAACTCTATGAAATATAATTTTAAGTAATAATCCCATCAAATCCAGTTATATGGCTTTTTCTAAGACCCAGGCTAATTAAAACAGATCTGACATTGTCTGAGAGGACTCAACATAAGAATGAAGACAAAGGACACAATTGCATCATAACCCCAATTTCTTTCTGCAGCCCAGCTATGATCCTGCCAAGGAGTGGGATTACTGAGCTAATGGTAAAACTCTTGAAAGGGACATCTCAGCATTACACAGCACTGTTTATTGATTGATAATGGAGAACACGACTTTGCATTAGCAACTTCAAGATCTGAAGCATTTATATTGAAATTATGTTATGATATGAAGCAATTCTGTAATGGAAGGAAATTTGACCTAGATAACGTGATGGTATCAAGGCACTGAGATGATGGCAAATTATTGACCTCCTTTCTCTCTAGCTCTCTCTCTCTCTTTCTCACCCTCTCTGTCTCTATCTCTCTCCTTCTCTTTCAGTCTCTCTATCTCCATTTCTCTTGCTCTCTCTATCTCCATTTCTCTTGCGCTCTCTCTCTCTATATATATTTTTATATACATATATACATATGTGTGTGTGTGTTACTTAAGGTGATGCTGCCTGAACCTCGCCATAAAATATAGAAATACGACTTTTTTAAGGTTTAAAATTAAAATGAGTTTGTAAATACCATTTTTTCATGAAACAAGGAATTGGAATTCAGTGTAACCA